GAAGAAGAAGAAGAAGAAGAAGAAGAAGAAGAAGAAGAAGAAGAAGAAGAAGAAGAAGAAGAAGAAAAAGAAAAAAAAAGAAGACTCAAATCTTCACTTCGGTTCAACGACCAGAAAAAGCAATACACACCAGATTTGCGCACTTGAAACTCAGTCTGGCTTCTATAGCACGTCACTTGCTCTCCGGTTCCCTTCTCTCTGGTGGACTGTTGGTCTGAAGAAATGTTAACATAAACGGAAAATCTGGCAGAATAATCTGGGATTAACCGGATCAGATGCAAGGAACAACGGTCTGGTATGATCTTCTGTTGTTGAGTCTGCTTCTTGGAGTCTTGTCTAATATCTTGGATATCTTTCTCTCCTGATTGGGTAATTTGTTTCCACTGGCAGAAGACATCCTTGTTTTGGATGCCCTCTGCAATCAATGTGGCATTCTGGCCAGGAAAAGACACTGGCGGTTGGATCCTGATACGAAGTTGTTTTTCATCTGCAAACCAAGTTGATCAGAAGAACATCGCATTAACTCATGAAGGAGCAAAAAAGAAGAAGAAGAAGAAGAAGAAGAAGAAGAAGAAGAAGAAGAAGGAACATACGCTTTTGTTTCTAACTTTTACCTGGTGGTGCAGTGGTTAGAATGCAGTATTGCAGGTTAATTCTGCCCACTGCCAGCAGTTCAATTCTGACTAGCTCAAGGTTGGACTCAGACTTCCATCCTTCCGAAGTAAATAAAACCCAGATTTTGGGAGGCAAATATGCTGACTCTGTAAACCTCTTAGAGAGGGCTGTAAAGCACTGTGAAGCGGTATATAAGTCTAAGTGCTATTGCTCTTCCTTCTTTCCTTCTTTCCTTCTTTCCTTCTTTCCTTCCTTCCTTCCTTCCTTCCTTCCTTCCTTCCTTCCTTCCTTCCTTCCTTCTGTGATGATGAAGTGCTTAGAATACAGTATTGCAGGCAAACTCTGCCCATAGCCAGGAGTTCGATCCTGACCGGCTCAAGGTTGATTCAACCTTCCATCCTTCCGAGGTCAGTAAAAATGAGGACCCAGATTGTGGGGGGCAAATATGCTGACTCTGTAAACTGCTTAAAGAGGGTTGTAAAGCAATATATAAGTCTAAGGGCTATTGCTACTGTTTGCAACACTGGGAATTCCTGCCATTTCTTTGAAGGAAGATACTACAATTGTGTTGTGCACACTCTCATAAACTGGCAACCGTCTTTCCAAACAGCCCAAGGACTAATCTGTGCACCCAACAGATCTTGATTTCCCCACTTCCTATCCTATGATGGTTGTTACAGGCAGCCCTCGACTTATAACCACAATCGAGCCCAAATGAGCCCGTTGCTAAGTGGGACATTTGTTACGTGAGTTTTACGACCTTCCTTGCCACAGTTGCTAAGTGAATCATTGCAGTTCTTAAGTTAGTAACTTGGTTGTACTTGGCTTGTCAGAAGTTTGCAAAAGAGGATCACATGTCCCGGGGATGCTGCAACCGTCATAAGTACATGCCAGTTGCCAAGCATCTGAATTTTGATCATGTGGCCATGGAGATGCTGCAACGGTTCTAAGACTGAAAGATAGTCATGTCACTTTTTTTTCAGTGCTGTTGTAACTTTGAACGGTCACTAAACAAACTGTTGCAATTTGAGGACTACCTGTAGCTAGATTTCTGCCTCTTAAATAACACACTGAACCTTGTGTTTTTTAAGCATGCTTAACCAGGTCTGTTAAACATCTAGCAACAAAATATACTCTACCTTTGAGTTGCTCTTTCATAGCTTAGTTTATTATTATTATTATTATTATTATTATTTATTAAACTTATATGCCGCCCTTCTCCCAACAGGACTCAGGGCGGCTTACAGCATATTAAAACAATACAAACACTATCCCCAATAAAAACCAATTAAAAACAAATATTTAACCGCTGTGTTACCATTAAAATTCTAATTAAAATTGTCCCTATTTAAAATTCTCCCTAGGCCAGACCC